AACAGTGGTGTATTTGTAAAAGGTAATGTCCTTCTACTGTAGGGAAAAATAAATCCTGGATACATCAGTTTGTAAAGATTTAGTCATTTATCTCAGAATTGCTTGCCTCAGAAGAGCAGCAGATGATGCATTTCCAAGTATGTGGATTTTTAAAAAAAACGGAGTAAAAATGGTTGTACTTTTACAACAGCAAGAACTTTGTTATAACGAACTTTGGGGCAGTTCACCTCACAGAGAAGTACTATACGGGCATTGGTGATTAGTTAGAAGCAAGCAGAGCACAGGTGTTTAGCATTGTTGCACTTTATAAGGACATTATGGTTAAGGTTGGCATAGCATTAGGGTTAGAACAAGAAAGGAACATGACACAGGAATACAAGTATCTGTACCTTTAGCAGTCCAGAGTGTCACCTTAGAAAACACTGGCCCAAGTGACTAAACACTGCCCAGTAGTGTGTTTTCAAAAACCAATGTACTTCTACTGTGGCCAAAACTAAATCCCATTTACAACAGTTTGGAAGCAATTACTCATGCATCTCTGAAGTTGTTTGCATCAGAATAACAGAGCATATATTGCTAAGTAAAGTGAGTTGTTAAAAAGCAGATGAAAACAGTAATATTTTACAACACGAAGGCCTCTGCCATCACAGTGCACCTCGCAGAAAGGCGCTGTGAGGAGTTGGTGATTATTTACAGGAAAGCACAGCACAGTAGTAATTCACTAATAATACGGTTGCCCTGTACAAGGGCGTTAGGGTTGTGGTGAGAGTTATGGTTGGGGTTGGAACAAGAAGGGCTTACTAAGAAAGAGTCTAAGTGTCTAACGTTAGCAGCAGTGATTGCTTTAGAAATCACAAACAACTAACTAAAACATCACAAGGTGGAAGGTTTCCAAAAGCCAATGTATGTGTACTGCAGTGAGAACTCGATCCCACTGGCAATAACATGGTCGGCTTTACTCTTAAAACTCGAGGTGTTCGCACCAGAAGTGCAGTGTGTTCATTCCTTACTTGACTGCATAGCCGCTACATAACTGGATTTGTTAAAGGTAACCTTCAGAAGAGCACGGATTTGGTTAAACTAATGCACCAGTCTGAAAAGTACAGTCAGATAGTTGCTGATTTAGACTGATGGTCTTTTGGTTGTGTTTAGGGCTTCTGCAGGAGGAACCCATACCTGGCACTGTCAAAAGGGACAAAAATCTGGTTAGATAGGTCATAGGCCCCAGAGGAACAGCTCTTGTTCTACAGAATCAATACAGTGATAAAAGAACTCTTCATGAGTTTGCTGTATAAATAGATCAGATCACCACTCAGCCTCCATTGGAGAAGCTTCATTCCCAGCTTGACTTCTCTGCGTTCTGTGTCCGAAGCATGTGGTACCTTTAGGAATATGATACTATAATCTAGTTCTTGTGGGAGACTGAAAGTAATAACATTTGCTTACTTTTCATTGGATGTGGGTAATGTCGCATTAAGCCTTTTGGAGGCCCATAGGGATGATGAGTGAAGAGTCAGCGACTCTGACTCCTTGAAAGGTCCTGATCCAGTGTTGATCTATGAGGCACTTCTGGCACACTAGTGAAGTCTCAAAATGGATACGAGGCTAGAGCGGTGACTGCTTCCCCATTCTTTATGGAAGTTTCCTAAGGTGACCTTGCCTCCCCACACCTCCCACATTTCCTTATAGTTGCAGCAACCTGATTGATTGTTACTGGTGCTTGAGGGTAGTGTGGGATGGTCTGATTGGCCTTTCAATAATTTAAAGGCTGTTTACACTGTAAAATATCTGCACCTTTGAGTCTGGTCTCCGGAGTCTGATTTCTGGGATTCTGTGTAGGCTCCATCGCTACTCAACCCCTTTCCCCTCGGTTCCTGATCCCTGCAGTTGAAAGCTGGGTGGATGGTTGACCCACAATTCATAGGAAAGTATCTCATGCCTGGCACTGAGCATTGCATCTGGGAGGACCAACGTCTACTTTCATATTACATGTGTTTTACTAGCCCTCCCATCAAACCCTCCCTCCCAAACCTCCTTTCTTGCTTTCTGGCCTCTGAGTACACTCATTTCAACAATGTAAGCACAGAAGCTGAGGCATCTGTGTATCTATGCTTAGGTTACTACACTCAGTATGATATTTTCCAGTTATGACAAGAATGGAAGACAAGAACTTGTCAAGGAGAACAGTCTCCTGAGCGAGCACCCCTGCCTAACCACTGTAGGTGAGTATATGACTGGAATTAACAGGAGGTACCAGGATAATTTATGGCCGGGCCAACAGGACTGACCAGCTTACCTCCCTCTTCATGATTCATGCCACTTTCTGCCATAAGCCCTTTAAAAAGCCTCCAGATTAGCAGCTTGATGACACCCTACTTCCTGGGATTCTTCCTGCTGCACCCATTCTCTTTCCTTCTCCTTTCTTAAGCTCTTACCAATGAACCTATAATAAATTCTCTAAAACAGACTCTCCGTGGTTCACAAATTTCATTATTCAGACTTATGAGACAAGAACCAACTATGATCATCTTTTTAACAGTTGTTTTCATGTCTTCATTGTACTGTGATGATATTCACATTCCTCTGCCTTCTTTTGTCCCTTTCCCTACTAAATTCCTGTTCTTCCCAATAATCTCCCTTCCATGTTCATGTCCTTTTTCTATGTATTCAGGTCTTCTGTAGGTGGCACAGCTGCTTTGTGTTCATGACTGCAAAGCCCTGTCCACAAGACCACATTTCACAGCACTCATCCCTATCCTCCAGATCTTGGCTCTTGCATGCTTTCTGTCCTCTTGGACTTGGAGAAGGTGATATAAGTAGACATTTTAGGGCTCAGCACTCAACAGTTGCTTATTATCAACACTTTGACCTTTTTATGAGTCTCCATATTATCGTTACCTACTGTAAAAAGAAGCCTCTGTAGCCAAGGTTGAAATCAGCATAGATATAAACATAATTATTCAGAAGGCAAATTAGCCATTAAGTTCATTTGCAAAACATTAGTGGTAAATTCCCTCAAGACTTATGACTCTCCAACCATAGGCCTGTAGGATTACAGTGCCAATCAGAAAGCAGACATTTACAGCCATGCCTCAAAGAGCTGTGCCATTATTGAAGCAGTGAGCATTTGCCCTCCAGGTCAGTAGAGTCTAAAACTGAGTAAGACCACTGGTGACTGAATATCTAGAATTTTCAAAGAACACACACACACAAAACAAATAACCAAGAAAACAGATTAAAAAATGCAAAAAGAAAAAAAAAAGAAAACAGATGAATGAAAAATAATAGGCTGAGAATCTGAGACAGAGGTCTCAAAAGAAAAATGTAAAAAGAGTAAAAATGACTAATAAATACTTTTAAAGTGTTAACATAATCAACTATCATGTAAATATAACTAAAAATACTTTGAGATTCCACCCATATCAGCCAGAATGACTATTATAAGAAAACAAATTAACAGCAAATACTGAAGGTGTAAGGACAAAGGGAAACACATTTAGAATTGGTGGGAATATAAACTGGTGTAGCCAGTTTATATGTGTGGCTGTTTCTGAGAAAGGGAAAACTGCTACCTTAGTGAATTATCTCCTAAATTCTCTGTATTGTACAACAGAGATATCTTCAAATTTATGTTTATTGTGACCCTACTCATAATAGCTAGGAAATGGAATCAGCCTAGATACCCATCAAGTAACACAGTGATAGTGGAAATGTGAGCATAGAAGAGAGACCAGATGGGAAGAATAAAGGGTGAATAGGGAGAGGGATAAGAGAGGGAGAGTGAGTATCATCACAATACATGGACAACATCGTAAAAGGAACTTTTATTTGCCTGTTTCAGTTATTGTCTTGGAGGCTTACTGTCTCCGTCTGTTCACCTAGGCCTAATCCTGGAAACTTCTTACCTCCATAAAATCCAATCTAAGCCTAGAACATTTTCAGCTTCTGAGACTTATTGCTTAGTAAGCTCACTCTTTCTTGTTCTTACTGAGCTCTGGGCTGGCTGGTTCAACTCAGCTGTTCAAGCTTCTCTTCCAGCTGACTTATTTAACCTGGCTTTTATTAGCCTATGAATTGCTCTGCCTCAAACCCAGCAATAAGTTCTTATCTCCTGGCTACTTCTCATTCTCTGGCTCATTTGATCTTCAGCTGTTCTCTCTCTGCAACCTGTCTCTCTATTACTGTCCCTGTAAAACTGCTCCCTCTTCTTCCTTTCCCTCCCCCTTCCCTTCCCCTTTTCTCCCTTTCTCTTTCTCCTTCTTTCCCTCCTCCTCTTCCTTTCTCCCTCTCCTCCCTCTCCCCCTCTCCCTCTCTGTCTCAGCATTGCTCATTAAGTAGATTCCCTTTCCTCTCTCTTCTGGTAAGAGTTGGGCATATCTATTCCGTCAAATCTTCTCTGATTTGTTACTTTTTCTGCCACTCATTAAATATCACTTTCAAACATAGGTGCTTCCTTCTACAAACTAAATGTACCTTCATTGTTCGGGATTAAAGGTGTATAACACCACACCTGGACCTAAGCTTTTCTTTACCTGAAACTTACTCTATACCAGCCTGGTCTTGAACTCGGAACTGCTTGCCTATGTCTCCTGGATTAAAGGCATGTTTTTATTCCACTTGGATCACACAGATCTAGAAGGTCTTTGGATGTGATCTCTTGCCAGAAGAGCCTGAATTTAAATTCCTTTACAAGACATGAATACAATTTTTTTTTCTTATAAAGGAAACATTTATTTGGGGCTGTCTTACAATTTCAGAATTTAGTCCATTATCTTGATGGCAGGAAACATGGCAGTGCACATGTAGACAATTTCTAGAAATAGCTGAGAGTTCTACAACCAGACTGGCAACCAACAGGAAGAAAAAAAGACACTAGATATGGCTGGAGAATTTGAAACCCCAAAGCCAACATGCAATGACACACTTTCTCCAACAAGGCCACACCCCCTAATCCCTGTCAAATAGTGCCACTTCCTACTGACCAAATATTTAAATCCATTAAAAATATGCAACATGTCATGAATTTGCATGTCATACTTGCGCAGGGCCATGCTAATCTTCTCTGTATCATTCCAGTGTTAGTATCTGTGCTGCCAAAGTGAGCACATGAAAGCTGTGGGCAGCACGATATCCATGGCTATACAGAAAGTCCTCACTCATCTCAGTGAATCTCAGAATAAAACATAAGAGAAGAACCGCTAGTGAGGAGGCAGATACTGACAAGAGTGAGGCAGAGAAAAAAAAATGGTAGGAACGAGAAAGAGTAATTAGAATGAATTACATGTATATGAAATTGCCAAAAATTAATTAGTAACAGACTCATGTCTGGATTTTTGTTGTTTTTAGTTAATTTGATTTCTCAAGCATCCTGCACAGGTTTGGCTATTTTTTTCAATCATGCTCACCAGGAACACTATCAAATTTCAAGCTTTTTCTTACCAATTTTGTGCACTAAGCGCTATACTATGCTGTTTCCCCTTGTAGGGAAACCCTTGAGAAGGATACATTTTCAGCTCCACTTCTGCCTCTTCTACTCTTGTTTCTTTCTGTGGTATGTATTAGACCCAACTCAACACATAACATTGTTGAATATTAAGCCCTGTTAAGCCCATACCATAGCCAACTTTGCTGGAACTTGGGCTCTCCTGGGATCCCCCTTGGACAGATTTCAGTCATCCCAGGAAGCATGCTTATTCTTTGCCCTCCACAGGCTGTGAGGACAACTCCTGGCTGTCAGTTCCTGCCTCTACAGCCGCTATGAGCAGGGTTATGAATTGCTGCTTTCTAACCAAAAGTCAGATACTAGTCTGCCAGATCTCCTTTATGATAGGTGAACCACTTCTCTCTAGTGAGTTCAGCATTGGTCAACTTTTTTGAGAATAACAATAGAAGCCCTTACTGAGTCCCACTGAGACTCAGTTTGAATCTGTTCAAAGGCACCCTCATTATATAGCCTTCCCTTCTTCTCCACTTTTGGCTTTTTATACTGTGAATGAACATTCATGGAAAGAAGCTGCCTTGGAAAAGACTGATTGACTGGTTAGAACTGTAGATGTGTAGAGAATGCGGTGGAGTGTATATTGTGATGGGGAGCATTGCAGGGACAGAGGCTAATTGCCTTTTGGGGGGCTAACTTTTAGAGCCCTGGATAGCAATTTCTTGCCCACCTCTGTGTCAGAACAGTGGCACAGAGATAAAGATTTGTGACACTAACTACCACTAAGCCTGAAGTGAAGACTGTCATCAGATAGCATCCAAGGCCTATAGAAAAGTTTTCCTCATCTTGCTCTAACCACCTCTCTGATGTACACTTGCCTGGATTTTCTTTTTCTCTTCTCTTTTCTTTTTTCTTTTTTTTTTTCTTTTCTTTTTTTTTTTTTTTTTTTTTTTTTAAGATTTATTTATTTCTGCCCCCATGTTCACCTGCAGGCCAGAAGAGGGCACCAGATCTCGCTGGGAATTGAACTCAGGACCTTTGGAAGGTCCTCTGAGCCATCTCTCCAGCCCACCTTCTGGATTTTCAATATGTATCCTTGGAGTGAGAACTCTGTAAACTTCATTTCCCAGAATTCCTTACCAGCTGATTTCAGGTAAGCTTTTAAGAAGGGAGAAAGCTGAGTGCATCCTTGTTCTGTAATTATTTCTGCAGCAGTGCTAGCCAGTCATGGAAGAGTGCTTCTTTTGTCTTACAGGTGGAGGGGGAACCAAAGGCTTTCCATGTTACATGTTACATGTTACTTGGGTTTTTGAGGCAGCGGTTTCTATGTAGCTCAAGCTGCTCCTACTCAGCTCACTGTGTAACCAAAACCCAACCTCCAATGACTGATTTTCCTACCTCTGCTTTCCAAGTGCTGAGATTAAAAGTACATACTACCACACTAGCCCAGAACAGTGCTTTTAAAACCATCTGGCTACCAATGGGCTTCACCTCTTTCATTGCCAACAACAGCACTGAGAGGAACCAGAGACTACTAGCACCTGCTGTCTCTTCTCCAGAATCCCAGCGGCGCTCTGTGATAGTAGATCCAGTCTCATCTAACGGACGTCTGTGGTTACGGCAGCAGCCTAGGTTGCTCCACAGTTCTGGTATCTCACGACTCCTTTGCATTATTGTTTCAGAGGCAGTGCAGAGCTATTAATACTTCATTTCCTCCCCTAGCACCAAAAACCCCCAAAACAAAACAAAACAAACAACAACAAAAAACAAGCACCGTTGATCATCGTGCAGCAATGATCGCAATCATACATACAAATAGTAATCAGAAACTGATCACACATTCATAATCCTCTCTCTCTTTTTAAAATCAGTGTAGAAAAGTGCCAATTGCTTAGACAATAAATTTACCTTCTTGGATTCTCTAAAGTTCAAAGTTTGTAAAATAAACTCTCCAAATTTGACTACACGATATTCTATTTATATTTTTTTCAAAAATAGTGTGGGCGATGCCTGTGATTTGTTAGTTTAAATACTTTAAAAATGAACCTAACTAAAATTAAGTATTATGTAAAATTACTTACAAATAAACAAGAACAAATAAAGATTAAAAAAATGCTTAAATTTTAAAGGACTGTTAAGATTGACGTCCCACAATACACTCGTAGAAACTACCTTTGAGACCCTATATTCCAGCCAGTTTCTGACACCTTAAAAAGGTGTTTGTTACACTTGAATCAAAAAGTATCATAACCATGACAGATCTCCAGCTGCACAGTGCAAAGCTTATCATGCTTGTGCAACGCTCTGTAGCTTTAGCTGTCATTGTTTGCATATCCAAATTGCATCACATATTACTGAAAATTTTAAATCCCGAAAAAGCTTCTCCACCCTAAACATTCCCTGTAGGGTGCAGTTATGTGTCGCCTCCCCTGGCCAATCAAGGCGAGTTGTACTTTTGCTGTGGCTGCGAGAACCAAATCCCTAGTGCTGGCCTTGGCTGTTCCCCGAGGTAGTCCACATGGGCTTTCTCTACAGCCACTGTCCTACTCTACTCCTGTTGACAGCCTGGCCAGCTCTAGCAGGATCCTGCCCCTTATATTCTGTTAGGGAGTTCCCACAGGGACTTCAGGCTTTAATTGACCTTTAACTATTTAGAGAGCTGAGCAATGAACTTCCTTGAATGCAGACCTTTCTATTCTGGTCTGATTATCTCCCCTGGGAAGGTCTCTGGGTCACTTGCATATCCTTCTTGTCAGATCCCTTGGATTTGCATTACCAAACCATTTAGATTGGCTCTGCTAATGTAATTCTGTGAAAGTACTGGTTTCCTAAAGTTTTTCTCAGCAATCTTGTTGATAGATCTCTTTTGACCAATTGTAATTTGATATACTACAAATAGCATGCCATTATATTTCTTTTGTTATAGCTTATGCAAGCTTCTTAAAGGTAAATGAATATAAAATGGTATAAAACACCACAGAGGAAGACAATGCAGCCACTCCTGACACCACCTGATAGACTAGGATCAGAAGGAAGGAGAGGAAGACCTCTCCTATTAGTGGACTTGGGGAGGGGCATTTGTGGAGAAAGGGGAGGGAGGGTGGGACTGGGAGAGGAAGAAGAAGGGAGCTACAGGGGGAATGCAAAGTGAATAAAGTGTAATTAATAAAAATTAAAATAAAAATATTAAAAAAGAAACATTTAAAAGACTCATAGACAAATTTTACGTGGTATAAACTTACATAAATGCTAGTTTAAAGGATTTTTTAAACTTGGCTAAGAGGACAGATGTTAATTTTCCTAACTGGTCTCCAGTTATGAACGGGCAAGACAGAGTAAACACATGCCAGAGTGTTGCAAGATGCACCGAGGGTCTGAAGTGTAGAAGATAAGGAAGTTAGAAAATATTTTGATGTGTGAAGTAAAACTTTAAAAAATATATTTTCTAACTTCCTTATCTTCTACACTCCAGACCTGCTTACAAGCTCTCGGCCACAGGTCTGTTTCCATGCTCTTTACACAGAGTTGGTCTTTGGCTATTTACAACACCAGAGAAAGTGTATGAAAGGCCATGGCTGAACCAACACACTGCAGCTGTCGCATTCAGCCCCAAAACTGCGCAGACACTTTTGGTGTTTCTTAAATAGGCCAGTAAATGTGTTATTTTATTGCTGTTTGCTTTCTTGCTTTTGAGACAGGTTCTGACTGTGTAATTCAGCCTGTCCCCAACTTAGAATCCTCCTTTCTTAGCCTACCTGAGTGCCACTGTACCTAAGGTCATTTAAGTCCTAAATAAGCTGTTTTAGTTTGCTTTTAGAAATTAAAGTATCATGAATTCTCACACAGTGTCTAGCACAGAATTGATACTATGCAAATATTTATAAACTAAATTAATGATCACTACAGATGTTTAGTGTTTAGTTTGTTGTATAATCAATAATGGAGAACTTTGACTTCCCCTAAATTCAACTGCTAATCTGTAACTCACATGACACATAAAGTTCTTAGTACCCTCCTTTACATAGAATTGGTATACATATGTACTTGAAGGGTAAAACTCTGGTCCACATTTCATTGAGCTACATGGCTCTCCCTTGTTCTGTAGTGTAGTGTTGTTTAACTGTGGTGAAAATGATTTCCAGAGGCATTACATACATTGGACTTGGGCGCTCAGTGTTAGTGTTTCATAATCTGACTGTTTATTCTGGCTGGAATGCAGTGAGTTAAATGGCTCCATGTTATAACAAGAGTTCCAGGAGGTCTGGCATCTTTCAGTCTGTAATCAACAAATACCTGCTGGTTGATGGCTTTGATGACGTTTAGATCAACTTTTATCTCAGCAGTTCTCAGGAATCCAATTATATGTGTCTAACACCTTACAAAACAGACATGTGTGCCTCAGTGAACAGTATTGAGGCTACCAGATGTTATATTTAGAGATATGGCCATGACATAACAGTTACTCTTTAATAACTTCTTTAACTTAGTGGGAAACAGTTAAAACTACTCACTGAGCATATGAATTTCTATATCTCAGCTAAGTGGAATTCAGAAAACCTAACACTTGTTTTAATTTTTATTTTTTGTTTGTTTTTGTTTTTCAAGACAGGGTTGCTCTGTGTAGCTTTAGCTACACCTTGTAGATCAGGATGGCCTTAAACTCAGAGAT